GAATTTTGGTTAGCAAATCTGCCATACAAGAAATACTAAAAGGAGTCCTTTGGGCTGAATGAAAGGACACTAGACAGTACCTGAAGTCCAAATGAGAAAATAAAGAGCACAGGTCAATGTAACTTATCTAGGTAAATATAAAAGACAGTATAAACATGTTTTTGTATTTGTAACTGAAGGAAGATTTTTTTTTTTCTTTTTGGAGACTGATTCTTGCTGTATTGCCCAGGCTGGAGTGCAATGGATGGTACAATCTTGGCTCACTGCAACCTCTGTCTCCAGGGTTCAAGCAATTCTCCTGTCTCAGCCTCCTGAGTAGCTGGGATTACAGGCACCCACCCACCATCGTGCCAGGCTAATTTTTGTAGAGATGAGGTTTCACCATGTTGGCCAGGCTGGTCTTGAACTCCTGACCTCAGGTGATCCACATGCCTCAACCTTTCAAAGTGCAGGGATTACAGGTGTGAGCCACTGTGCCTGGCCAGAAAGTATTCTTAAGTGATCATTTTAATTACTTTAATTCAGTAACAATATTGAATGTGTTGATGAGCATACAATGTATAAAGATGCAGGGAATAGCTATAAAGTAACAAAGCCTTTGACAAAGTAAGGAAATTAAGTTTGTATTAATCCAAACTAGATCATTAGAAATTAAGATGTTAGTTGTAATCCCAGGGCAATCACTAGAAAAATAATTCAGAAAAATATAATGAAAATAATGACAAGGGAATTAAAATGGTACAGCAGAAAATAACAATCTAACACAAAAGAAAACAGCAAAGGAAAAAGAGAAACAAAAAGACCTAAGATGTATATTAAAGAGACATCAAAATGACAGTCATAAACTCTTCTTGTTTTTCATTGTTGTTTTTTTCTTTTTGAGATGGAGTCCTGCTGTTACCCAGGCTGGAGTGAAGTGGTGTGATTTCGGCTCACTGCAAGGGCCTCCCAGATTCAAGTGATTATCCTGTCTCAACGTCCCAAGTAGCTGGAATTACAGGTATGTGCCACCACACACAGCTAATTTTTCCATTTTTAGTAGAGCCACCACACACAGCTAATTTTTCCATTTTTAGGGTTTCACCATGTTGGTCAGGCAAACTCCTGACCTCAGGTGATCCACCCTCCTCAGCCTCCCAAAGTGCTGGGATTACAGGCGTGAGCCACCATGCCTGGCAGTCATAAACTCTTATCAGTAATTACACTAACTATAAATGGACTAAATAGTCCAAAAGGTAAAACTGGCAGAATGGAATACAAAAACCAGAATTGAACTATAGGCTGTTTATAATGAACAACACACTTTACAAGTCACAAATTGGTTGAAAGTAAAAAGATAAAAAAAGATAAACACAATACAAACAGTAATCAAAAGAGACCTGAATTGGCTACACTAGTATCAGACAAAATAGATGTTTAAGACAAACATGTTATTAGAGACAAAGGACTTTGCGTGAGTGGTAAAAACACACAACATAAAACTTGCTATTTTAACCTTTTTTTTTTTTTTTGGGACTGAGTCTTGCTCTGTTGCCCAGGCTGGAGTGCAGTGGCACAATCTCAGCTCACTGCAACCTCCACCTCCCAGGTTCAAGCAATTCTTCTGCCTCAGCCTCCTTAGTACCTGGGATTATAGGCACATCCCGCCATGCTTGGCTAATTTTTGTGTTTTTAGTAGAGATGGGGTTTCACCATGTTGGCCAGGCTGGTCTCAAACTCCAGACCTCAGGGTGATCTGCCCACCTTGGCCTCCCAAAGTGCTGGGATTCCAGGCATAAGCCACAGGGCCTGGTGCCTACTTTAACCATTTTTAAGTGTACAGCTCAGTAGTGTGAAGTACATTCACACTGCTGTGAAGCAGAACTCCGCAACTTTTCCATCTTGCATAACTCACGTTTTATACCCATTAAACAGTGACTCCCTTTCCCACCTCCTCAGCTCCTGGTAACTACCATTTTACTTTTTTTTCTATGAATTTAATTACCTTAGAAACTGCATATAAGTGGAATCAAGCAGTTTGTCTTTTTGCTTCTGGCCTATTTCACTTAGCACAGTGTCCTCAAGGTTCATCCATGTTGTAGCACATGACAGAATGTCGTTCCTTTGTAAGGCTGAATAATACATTGCATGTATTTATCACATTTTGTATACATCGACCACTCAACCACTGATGGATGTTTTTCCCCGAGGGATTCTGTTATAAGGACATGGATGGACACTTAGGTTGGTTTTACCTCTTAGCTATTGTGAATAATGCTGCAATAAACAAGAGTGTGCAAGTATCTCTCCAAGATCCTGCTTTCAATTCTTTTGGATGTATACCCAGAAGTGAGATTATGGGATCATATGGTGGTTCTATTTTTAATTGTTTGAGTAACCTCCATACTGTTTTCCATAATGGTCACACCATTTTACAATCTTACCAACAGTGCAAAAGAGTTACAATTTCTCCACATTCCTGCTAACATTTGCTACTTCCTTTTTATTGATAGCAGCCTTGCTAATGGATGTGAGGTGACAAAGAACATTTTATAAATGGGCCAACCAGCAATAAGACAAAATAAAAAGTTCTATGTACTCAACAATACACGAAACCCCAAAATACAAAAGCAAAAACAAGATAAAACTCAGGAGAGAAACAGACAATTCAACAATAATAGTTGGAAACTTCATTTTAAAATTTTTGTTTATTTTTGAGATGGAGTTGGCTCACTGCAAACTGCAACCTCTGCCTCCAGGGTTCAAGAAATTCTCCTGCCTCAGCCTCTCAAGTAGCTGGGATTACAGGTGTGTACCACCACCCCAGCTAATTAACAGTTGGAAACTTCAAGAACCTTACTTTCAAATGGCTAGAACTACACAAAAGATCATCAAGGACTTGAATAATACCAAAAGCCAACTTGAACTAACAGGCATCGGTAGAACACTGGACCCAACCAATGGAGCATACATGATCTTCTCAAACACACATGGAACATCCTCTAGAATAAACCGTATGTTAGGCCATAAAACAAGTCTCAACAAATTTTAAAAGACTGAAATCACAGAAGCATGTTATCCAATCAGAAAATACTGAAAACAGAAACCAGTAACAACAACAAAAAGCTAAATCTTGACCTGGAATAGGCAATGGCTTGTAAAGCATGAGCCACAAAGAAAAAAATAGGTAAACTGGATTTCACCAAAATTAATACCCTGCATACTTTCGATGGATACCATCAAGACAATGAAAAAACAACCTAAAGAATGGATGGCAATGTTTGCAAAATAACTTATTTGATAAGGGACTTACATCTGGATTATGCAAAGGACTCTTACAACTCAATAATAAAAGGATAAAAACCTGATTTTTTAAATGAGCAAAGAATCTGATGTTTCCCCAAAGACATACAATTTGCCAATAAGCCTTTGCAAAGATACTCAACATCATTGGCTGTGAGGAAAACATAAATCAAAACCACAAAGAGATAATACTTCATACTAACTAGGATGGCTATTATCACAAAGACAGACAATAACAATTATTCCTAGAATGGGAATTGGAACCATCATTGCATTGCTGGTGGCAGGTAAAATGTGAAGCTACTTTGGAAAACAGTCTGGTAGTTTCTCTCTCTCTCTCTCTCTCTTTTTGAGATGGAGTTTTGCTCTGTAGCCCTGGCCAGAGTGCAGTTGCATAATCTCAGCTCACTGCAACCTCCGCCTCCCGGGTTCAAGTGATTCTCATGCCTCAGGCTCCTGAGTAGTTGGGACTACAGGCATGGGACACCACACGTGACTAATTTTTTTTTTTTTTTTTTGTATTTTTGGTAGAGACGGGGTAACACCATATTGGCCAGGCTGGCTTTGAACCCCTGACATCACGGTCCGCCCGCCTCGGCCTCCCAAAGTGCCAGGATTACAGGTGTGAGCCACCACGCCCGGCCAGAAAATGGTCTGGCAGTTTCTGAAAAGGTTAGCTGTAGAACTGCCATACAACCTAGCAATGCCTATCCTAGGTATTACCCATCAGAACTGAAAACATCTAACCACAGAAAAATACGTACACAGATAACCAAAGCAGCATTACTGATGCTGCCAACAAATAACAACCCAACGTCCTCAGCTAACAAATGGGTAAGTAACACGTACACCCACGCAATGCAATATTTAACAATAAGAAAATGAACTGATACAAATAACGACCCAATGTCCTCAGCTAACAAATGGGTAAGTAACACGTACACCCACGCAATGCAATATTTAACAATAAGAAAATGAACTGATATATGCTATGATGCGATGAAAACGGAATTATACACTTCAGTGAAGATTATTCAAAGAGGCCAGTCACAGAAGACCACGTATTACATGATTCCAACGATATGAAATGTCCAGGAAAGGCAAATCTAGTTAGAAAGTAGGTTAGTAGTTGCCTAGGGCTGGGGAACATGGAAGATGACAGTGACTAGAAATGAACTTCTTTACGGGGAGATACAAAGTTCTGCAGGCAGTTGTGGTAACGGTTGCAAAACTATGTAATATATTAAAAATCACTTAACTGCACACTTAAGTGGGCGAATTTTATCTCTGTGAAGCCAATACATTAAAAGAAACAAAAAAATCAACCTAAGCACATGCCCTCTGTAAGTTTTCCCTGTTGTAGAAATACTAAGAGAACAAGTAGATACCTAAGGACTTTCCTACAACTCTGCCAACTTCTAAAAAAGAACTTCAAAACAAACTATAATAGCAGGACTTGTGTAAGTATTGAGTGTTGGGTAAGACAGAGGTCAAGGCATATTCTGAAGACTGACTGCAGATGAGCAAACTTCATCCTGTCTGACACTGATGAGGAAAGCTGAAGAGCCTTCTGTCCCAACCTCTCATTTTTCCACTGTAGTTTAACCTCTGTAACTTCTTACGAGGAGTGTGTGTATACATGTGAGCTTATGTGGAAGAAATCCTTTTCTAAAGCTTTGTTTACGACACTGTATTTGTATTTGAGGTTGTAGTTTTACCATGCACAGGAGAATCTTCATCAGCAAACAGACTTGGTTCTATTTCTTTCAAAGAACTTCTACCTTCAAGTCGGGCAAGGAGCTTACAAAAGAAAAGAGAGAAGGAAAACTCATTATTTAAAAATATAAAATCCCAAACATCAGTATTAATACCATTTTCTGAAAGTCTGTAAGATTTCATAACTTTAGACCTGGTGCTGTGGTTTACACCTGTAATCCCTGCACTTTGGGAGGCCAAGGTGGGCAGATCCCTTGAGTCCAGGAGTTTGAGACCAGCCTGGGCGACATGGCAAAATCCCTGACTCTACGAAAAATACAAAAATTAGCCGGGCATGGTGGCACACACTGTAATCCCAGCTACTTGGGAGGCTGAGGTGGGAAGATCACCTGAGGCCAAGAGGCAGAGGTTGCAGCCTGGGTGACAGAGTGAGACCCTGTCTAAAAAAAAATTTTTTTAAATAATTTTGTGGATTTGGAAGAAATAGGAAATATAGTTTAGGAGAAATCTTGTGTTTACTTATTTATGAGATATTTCACTTTTTGCTTATCTACCAGATACTGACAGTATAAAGTGGGTCTGTTCCCTTAAAGGAATGGATAGTCTAGTTTAGGATACAGGACAAACTACTAGGGCAAAATGTTTACCTTCCTTAACTTTTGTACTATAATTGTTACCACAGCTGTTATACAGTTATCTGCCTTCATTTATCTGCCCCATTCATTAGGAGCTCTTTATTTCATTGCAGAAGGGGACAAAGGAGAAAGGTGGAGGAAAACTTCCTTGAGGAGCCACCACCTGAGCTCTCTCCCCCTAAGACTCTGCCAGTGGATGGGGAACAGGCAGGCCTAGCAGACCTACCAGCAGGAACAGGAGTAGCCACAGGGCAGAGGCTATAAACAGCACTGTGCAGGGACACTAGGAGCAGATTTACCCCTAGAGCTCATAGCAGCACCAAACAGCAGGACACAGTGAAGCCCTGAAAGACTGCACAGGTCAGAGCATAGAAGGGCTCAGATGTCATGTTTGGGAGCTTATCTTTGGCTGTAGACAATAGCAACAGGTGTGACACTAACCAGTGAGAAGCATTTAGCATTGTTAAGAGCAGACATTTGGGACTCCAGAGCCAGACCTGCTAGATCACTGAGGGCCTTAGGCTTCTCATCTGTAAAGTGAGGATAACAAACAGTACCTCCCTCATAAGGTTGATGAGGATTAAATATGTGAAGAGTACCTGGCATATTATCTGCTTTTTTTTTGGAGATGGAGTCTTGCTCTGTTGCCCAGGCTGGAGTGCAGTGGCACGATCTCTGCTCACTGTAACCTCTGCCTAAGCTCAAGTGATTCTACCTCAGCCTCCTGAGTACCTGGAATTACAGGCAGCCACCACCACACCCAGCTAATTTCTGTATTTTTGGTGGAGACGGGGTTTCACCAGGCTGGTTTTGAACTCCTGACCCCAAATGACGCCCCCCACTTCAGCCTCCCAAAGTGGTGGGATTATAGGTGTGAGCCACTGGGCCCAGCCCATCTGCATTTCAAAGAGATCATCTTGGTGGTTACTAGGGGACAGATGTGAGGAGAGTAAAACCATATGTGGAGAGAGGGCTGGAGTCTGTCACCCTAGCCTGGAGGAGGAGTATCTGCACCATGACAGAAGTCATTAAGATCACAGGAGCAACCTCGGTGAAGGATTCCACTGTCACAAGGGAGACGTAATCAAAACTGATTCTCAAGATTGTTGGGAATCAGCAGACCTGACAACCCTTCTATATGACAAAAGGAAAAAAAGCTATCACAAATGAGAAGAAAAAGTCACCTTTTATTTGCGTTTTTTTTTAAGCCAAATCACATTGCAGAAAGACTTCCTGAAGTGATGAAAAAGTTATATACATTAATTTAACAGGTGTTCGTTGAATTTCTGTTGCATATGAAGCACTGTGCCAGGTAAAATGGGGACTACAAAGATGAAGATGAAGCCTACCCTCAAAACATGTGCAGTCCAGGTCCTCTAGATGAGACTGTCATAAAGCAAGGTAAAGATACAGGGTGCTTAGTTAGAGCAGAGGTTTGAGGGCATACCCATGGCCGAAACTATTCTCATAAACATGAAGTAAAAATTAAGATGTTATTTGTCTTTTTGACTAGTGTGACACTGAGGTCATGAAAGCAACAGTAGGTAACCTGCTGACAAGCTAGCGTAACGAAGGCAGTGGCGTGGAAATGTATTGGCACACATCGCCTCACCACACACTCGCCAAGCGCTACCTGCACTCAGGCAGAACAAACAAAACCCAGCTTTACGTAAGAATGTCTTTGATGAGGTTAAAAAAAAAAAAAGACTGGTTTTATTAAATCATGACCCTTAAGTACACTTTAAAGATATTCTGTGATGACAGGAGAAACATACTGGTTAGTGAATAATCTAACCTTGCCCGAAGGGAGGTCTAGCTTTTGTCCTTGGCTCCTGAGAGGTAATTCTAAACCCTTGGAATGTCTTGACTGATAAAGTGTCTTTGGGCAGGGCACGGTAGCTCACACCTGTAATCCTAACACTTTGGGAGGCCAAGGTGGGAGGACTGGTTGAACCCAGGAGTTTAAGACCAGCCTGGAAAACATGGTGAAACCCCATCTCTACAAAAAATACAAAAATTGGCTGGGTATGGTGGCATACGCCTGTAGTCCCAGCTATTCAGAAGGCCAATAGAGAAGAACTGCAGTGAGCCAAGACTGTGGCACTGCACTCCAGCCTAGGCAACAGAGCAAGACCCTGTCGTTCCACTCCCCACTCGCCCCCGCAAAAGAAAGTGTCTGTTTACATGGGAACCTTGAGCCACACCAGATAAGAATGTGATTTATGGTGGGGGCTTTGGGTCATGCAGTGTCAGGCCAACCTGGAGGTGCTGAAAGCTAAGGTCAGCTATGCAGGCAGCTGACTATGTCCGCATGGCAGAGCCCCAATAAAACCTTTGGACACCAGAGCCTAGTTGAGATTCCCTGCTTGGCAATATTCTATTGTCACACATTGTTGCTGGGAGAATTTAGCACTGTTGATGACTCCACTAGGAGAGGACAGCTGGAAGCTCTGTGCTTGGAACTTCCTGGACTTTGTCCTCTTGTGTTTCTTCCCTCGGCTGATTTTAATCTCTATCCTTTTGCTGTTGTAAACCCTAACTATGAACACAACAGCTTTCATTGAGTTCTGAGTCCTTCAGGGACTTATCAAATCTGAAGGTGACTGTGATGGTTAATTGTATACGTCAACCAGATTAGGTTAAGAGATGCCCAAACAGCTGGTAAGGCATTATTTTTGGGTGTCTCATGAGGGGGGTTCTGGAGAACATGAGCATTTCAATCAGTCGACTGAATCAGGAGGATCCATCCTCACCAATGTGGATGGGCATCCTCCAGTCCTTCTTTTCTTGAGCTGGGACACCCATCTTCTCTTGCCCTCAGATACTGGAGTCCCTGATTCTGGGACTTACACCAGTGCTGCCTGTCTCCCAACCCTGCACTGTTCTCGAGCCTTTAGAGCCTTGGACTGGGTTCCACCATGGGCTCTCCTGGCTCTGAGGCCTTCAGACTCTGAATGACATCACAGGCTTTTCTGGTTCTCCAGCTTGCAGATGGCGTGTCTGAAACTTACTGACCTCTATAATCACATTGTTAGAGTAGGTAGAGAGGCATGTGTGAGCAGGGCAGGACAGGCCCCAAGCAATGTCCTGGTGGCCTCTTCAGGAATGATAACTGGTTGCAGCTAGCATCAGGGAGGGGAAAATTTCCTAACAGGAAACATCTTGAGCTTATGGAGAACAACTTCCTGATAAGATCCTAGGAACTGAGCAAACATGTCCAGGAATGTGCAGTAAGGAGCAAAATGGTGGAATGTGACCAGTATACGACCTTCCTCTGGGAACACTAGAGCAATAAGGGAAAATTGCCCTACGAGAGCATGCACAGAACTCCAACTACCAAATGGCACTTGTGGCCCCTTCACATGCTGGCAAGTCACCGCGCATTTGGCAATTAGCCAGCAACCCACCCAAGGAGGATGAGAGGACTTATCAAATTTGAAGGTGGCTGTGATGAATCAGGAAGAATCAGGAAATAGGGGCATTCAGTATTTCAAGTTGCCCAGTTGGTCCCTTTCAAGTAAACTTTACTTCAAAAACCTTCACTTCTGCCTTGAATCTACTTCTCTCTCTTGGCTGAACTGTTTCTTCCAAAAACTAAGGACTGTGGCCCCCAACCGGACTTGCCCCCCTCCATCCCGATAACAATGTAAGCCAATATCCATAATAAATTTCCTCTTATATATCTACATGTATCCTGTTGGTTCTGTTTCTCCTCTGGAGAACTGTGCCTAATATAGAACTCAGTGAACCGTATTTCCAAAAGATGCATGATGTGGAATCATTCCTGGGTAAATGGTTTCACTCAAACTCTGACTGTTTCTTCTTTGGAGGCAGGGTCTTACTCCCTCACCCAGGCTGGAGTACAGAGGCACGATGAACCTCAACCTCCCAAGCTCAAGTGATCCTCCCACCTTGGCCTCAAGTAACCAGACCACAGGCTCGTGGCACTATGTCCCCCTATTTTTTTATTTCTAGGAGACAGGTCTCACTATGTTGCCCAGGCTGGTCTCGAACTCCTGGGCTTAAGTAATCCACCCGCCTTGACCTTCCAAAGTGCTGAGATTACAGGTGTGAGCACCTGGCTGAGGACAGACCTTTTTAGAAAAGTTCACTGATAAGATTTTATATCCCACAAAGAAGAATATCTATAAATTCTTCGAAAAGGTCTTAAAATACTCCTCCCTTTTCCAACGTAATTTTCTCTGAGAGGAAAGATGTTCTTCATATACTTTAACCAGACCAACATATTACAGCAGACTGGATATGTTGCAGTTAACTGGGTTAACTTCTAGTAAGACAGATATTAAAAATATCTGCAAATATGTAAAACAATGTTACTTTTCTCACGACATTTTTACCCTCAGAAAAATACAGATATTTTTAGCCAAAATAAACAAATGGGATCTAATCAAACTTAAGAGCTTCTGCACAGCAAAAGAAACAATCATT